TCCATGCAAGAAGCTATCAAATCAATATAAGCACAGCTAATACGGAATATTTATGTTTATTTTTTTTCAGGTGTTATTTAACATTTGGGGATTTAAATACGGAACTGCTTCCATATCAGCATATCAGGGTTATTTACATAGATACAAAATGTTTTTCAGGAAGTATGTTTGGCTTGTCGTTTTAGTGATGTATGTTATCAGTGAAATGCACTTAGACATGGTGGCCTGAGTCATGTTCCTACACACATAAAACAGGCGTGAATATTTTGATACGTCCCCGATTCTATGTTCAAAATGTAATCAAGGATGGTGTAAAATTCAAGTAGTTGTGTCTGCCATATTCATATACACCGATCTTTGAAGGGGATATAGTTTTGGACAACTGTACGTTTTTCCCAATATTAGATCTATTTACAGCCGATATTGTGTACGACCAACCAAAAAAGTACATCTTTCGATTATCCAGATTATATTGACACTGTCCAAAGTCAGCTTCTAATTTTTACACAGTACACATCCTATGAAATAATAAATATGAAGCGTGCGAACATCTTTCACTGGGAGAAACAGTTTGACATCCATATAACATTTATTTTTTCAAAAAATATTTTTTTCAATACCACACACAAAAGCTAAGATTAAGTGATTTAAGTAGCTAAAATAAACTGCCTGGCAAAGGAAAATATTAACCTGAAAATTGGATCGGACCAAAAAATCGCATTCGTAATGAAAACATTCCTTGGCTGAAAGCCGCCCCCGAAACAGTGCACACTTCATGTCCAAGACATAACTATGATACCCGTATCAAATACATTGCAATCGAATAACCTTTTCTCATTTGTTTTATTTTTAGCAACCATCAAAGATGGTGTCTGGCAGTTTATATACAATGTAGCATCAAGGTATATCATTATAACACACGTAAGATTGCTTTCAGTTTATTATTTGTATTGATATTTGCTTATTTATTACATCCTTTGCATAAGCATAAAAACGAACATAAAACAACAAGTATATTCCTGACATAAATCACATGAGTGATGCGCGTATGAAGCGTTATCCTTCGTATAAGCTGGGGGCGAAAGTCATACGGTACCGTCAAACCATATTTTCCAGTGTCTTACCGACACAAGAATATTTGCCAGCATGGCAAAACGTCTCAGTGTTAGTGCTTCTATGAATGTAGTGTTTGTTGTAATAATGAAAACTAAAACACATTGTACACGTATTACATATTCTGTAGTTGTGTCAGTGACTGGTCACTTGAATGCCGTTGTATATGTCAAGGTTGGTTTACATGTATCGTAATTGCTCGGTTGACTTTCTAGATTAGGCCAATCACATACATATTTCTAGCATAGACATATTGGTTAATGACCCCCTAATATCCGATCCCTCAAATAACATACAGTGCATGCTACTGCAGCAGATTATATTGAAAAGGTATGTTTGAAGCAAACGCATCGCATTACTTGTCAGTGTTATCTTGTACGCGGGTATATCGCGCCATAGTGTATTACATTGCCTACCTCCATATGTTCTAAATTATATCGTCCAGGTTGAAATGGACATGCATCGGGCCATCTCATCACCATGAAAAAACAACTGTTTCCTTACAATGTATGTTATCGAGATATTATCTTATATAATATAAAACGTAAACGACAAATAATAATCAGTCTCCATTATCTGCAGAAACATATTCCATTATGCATAAAAGGCAAAATGGTGGTGAATATTATGTGAACGGATCACTGAACGTCACGTTTACTTATGCACCTATACGTAAATATGCATGGTACGTGCTGAACATGAAATAACCCATTGGATTTACCAAACCCTGTATTGAATCTGGTGACCAGAAACTAGAAGAATTTATTCAAGAAATGTGGGGATGCCATCGGCCCATTACCCATATGGGTTGAAAACATATCGTATTGGAGATAGATAATACATGTTATGAAACTCAATATGGTAAATTTATTTTTCGTGGCTTCCTGCACTGAATTAGATTGGCCTGTTATAAGGATACGGGTGTGAAAAAAGCATATTCTTGCTGAAGACGATATAGGTGTGTTGTAATATTTCTTTACTCCTGTTGTACTTAATTTACCGTTGGTGGATTATTGAGACATTTATACCGTTATTCTCCAGGGAGAAATATATTGGCAACAAGACTACGATCCATGAATACCTCAAATACGCGCCACATAGAGTTTAAACATATTATGGAATAAATCTGTGTTATTACTTCGTAAGATTTTTAACATCTATATTTTGAGTGTCTGGCATAGCATGATCCTGGTCTGTTCAGTGCACCTGTGTATGCTGTCACCGAGCCCTCTTCATGTGAGTGTGTCCCTCGTGTTATTTCACTGTTGCACATTAGCTCCATTAGTTTCTACATCATTATCTTAATTATCAGCAAGTATTTTGCTGCCAGGAAAATGTTTCAAATTCCAGGCTTCTTATCAATGCCTTCCTTCTTCCTTTGGTAACCATGAAAGAAAAAATGTGAAGTATGCTTTATAATATTTTTATCTAAATATATGTCTATTGTAAATTTTCACTTTAATATCTTTAAAAAAACCATGTTGTCACACAATGCCTTCCTAATATAGTACCGGGCTATGCAAATACGTACTGATGGATCAAACTATGTCATCCATTTTACATCCAAACGAAATGTATGTGTATACATTAAGTGTCCTTTGAGAAGACAGATTATCATATTATGCGAGTCGCTTTATATCTGTTGCCAGGTTTATGTTTGTCTGTAATTCACGCCTAAATGCCCATTTTCCTTTTCATCAATTGATAATTCTGCAAATGGAAAATACTGTAAGCAACAGCCGCTTTCAACACGTTTCTTTATGAGTGAAGACGGAGTGTGTACTCTCGTTACAGCGACACACACGAAGATCGGAAACCGTGAACAGCTCTCTCACTGACTCACTTCTACCCATTACGACATCAAAGTCGACTCGAATTTAATCAGTAAAATATCAACGAAGGCCCCTATCACCCCTCTGTCCTCCACCTCCCCCAAAAGCTGGAGAAATATCCCCCAATTTAAATGCATGAGTTTCTCCTCAACCGCCCCAATTATGTTAAATTCGATGTAAAATTGAATTATCACATAGAAGAAGGGGGAGTGAACCGTGAGGTGGGGGTGGGTGGTGGTGTGGTGGGGGGTGGGGTCGGGCTGATGAGCCACGTGCAGGTCTCTCAAACACAGAGAAATTTAATGGTGAACGGTTTGAAATAATTTAACAATGAAGTATTTTAAGGCTGAAAATGATGAATGAAAGACGGGAATCAATGGATATTTATGCACTCAATGACACTGCCTTGAAGTGGTTTGTTGTGTCGTTGACGTATTTCGTATTGAACATATGTTAAGTATTGTCAGCACAGTCTTATGTAATGAGACAAATGTTCAAAATTGGCTACATGTTAATAATAGTTTTGTGTTCTTGCACAAATCGTACACGTCGTTCATGTCAACACAAATAGTCTAGAAAAATACCCCCATACAAACTTACAGAGATGCAAATAAATAAATAAATAACGTTCATACGTTAAACAAACAGGAGAAGTGTGCAATGCCAGTTATTATCCAAATGAGAACTTCTATCATGTTAATAAAAGAAAATAACCTATGCATAACATTATTGATATTGATCAGACCTAAGTGTCTACATTGCCGAAAGGTACAACCAAAATTTAACTTTCTCTCAAATTATCAGTTTTCAGTCAACTTCATCATGGTAATCATATAACTAATCTATTATTGTAACATTTTTTATCAGTTATGATAACATTATAATAGCGTTTTTCTCCAATCATCACTTTAAACGCTTACAATTTTTAACAAACATGTCTTTGGTTTCTTTTCGTTTTGTCTGCGTGCAAAAAGTTCTAAATGTAAACTATCTCATATCATCAGGGATACAAAATAGCGTAACAGATACAGGGAAATATTGTGGCACATTCCCTCGAGTAATTAGCTAGCATAATACACCATCTCACAGTGGAGTCATCTGCTCACTAAGTGAATGTCAAAGTAGACTAGCTATGTACTGAGGAGGCGAGGTTAATTGCCAGTCGAAAATGTTATATATAGATACACTTATGATGGATGAAAAGGGCTTGATGCAATCGACATGACCACGTGACGTCCTCTCAGCCAATAAGAGAACGCCAACGGCCGGGCTATATCATACATAACATGTGGCTTATGATCCAAATTCCCTTTGATGTTGCCGCTCCTGCGCGGTTCAGATGCGCAGAACAGGAAGTTATAAAGTGTGGGACCGTAGTCACTCTTTGAAGATTTTATATATTTTTTTCATCGTTGCTGAATAGCTCAAGACACATATCAATAACTTGACACAGCACAGATGTTCTGTCGGTTCCACCAGCCCGGAGCAGCATGAGATGAAATTGACAAAGTTTTGATAGAGTGTTGAGGGTTACTGTTGTGGGAGGGGTGGGGACGCAAGCCCTCCTCTCAGCGCGAATGCGTTTTTTGTACGCGAAGAGACCCTCAACACTAAACAGCCCCACTCGATTGTACTTAGACGCACAAGCATCTTCACTGAATACATTTTGCAATTTTCTGATTGTGGAAAATTTCCATGCATTGGTTGAATGAACCGCCAATTTATTTACATTATCTTACATTCCATACACATTCGAATTGCTTAATTCAGAAGGATTACTGATAATAATTAAGGATAAACACTTGGTGAACATTAAAAATATTGACACAAATTGACTGTCGAATTGCAAGCTTAGAAATATAATTTATTTTTGAATTGTTATAGCAATTGAATGTGTTTGAAAATGTGACATTGATGGAGTAAGTCTCGAACCCACGATAAAGCTGTTCAAACTGTCCGTTTATAGTACATGCGTTCAAGACTAAACTCTCCCATAGAAAATATCTGACAAAAGTAGTTGTGTGTTGAGTATTCAATAAATACAATGTCAATACATATCGCAACAACGGTTCGAATTTATTTCAAAAGAATACTCTCAAAATAGTCATGCAAATGTTGGCTCGATATGAATAATTCATAAAACGTAATACCACAGTATTGAAAATGCAATTTACTCATTTGCATTTGAACAAGATTCATAGGTATACATTGCGTTACAACATATATATCCCACAGTAAGATCCGTTCCCGAGACGGGAGAAAGACAAAGAAAGTGTACATATAGTCAATGAGAAATTTATTCATTTTGATTTTTTTTCAAATAGATAATACAGAAAATTGTGAAATTTTATATAAAACAAAAGCTAATTTAAAACTTAATTTCTCGTCATCTATATTCAACAGTTCTCGTATAAAAATTACTGAAATCACCTAACGTTCTTAGTATTTCTATGAAATTAATTTTAATCAATTTTGTAAAAGCCAAATAAATAATTCTGACGAGATCAAAGTGTTTTAATTGACATAATACTTAGAAAGGGAATTAAAAAATAGTATTTTAAGTATTCTATGGAAATAAAAAATGATTTAAATAAACACACCTGTTCCTCCGTAATCTGTTGCTGAATATGGCTACCATTTTTGCCTTTGGTAACCTAGCTTTATGATATTTCAACAACAATCATACAGCTAGATAACCAAAGACATAAACAGAGCCTTCGTCTTGACCACAGTTTCCAGGTACTAGACCTTCGCAAAGATGAAGCAGGTGCCCGTGAGTGGGAGCAGATCCCGTGGGGTGGGGCAGGTTCCCGGGGATGGCAGCACGGTAAACTCCAGTCATGCCGGGTGTTACCAGGCGTGTGTTTTCGCATCACAGGAGAATTCACATGAGGACAAAAACACCGCGAGCGATAATCCAAATACGTCCAGCAATATGTGCAAATGTCGTGAGATATCCTGGCCCACAGCCGATGTTGTCCAGTAGGGAGGAGACAATGGACTCGGGACTAAACCGTCTCCCCCGCTGTTCTACTCTCGACTCACTTCTAGCAGTCTCGACACAGAAAAAAGGCCCATCAGTTTACGAGAAATTTAGACTTGTTGAGTTAGTTGCCTTGGTAACTAGGGGACAGTCGGTATGTCCGGGCAATTTGCACCTCATGCCTTGACGATGTTGCCGACGTACATCACCAATGTCTCGTTCTCGTCCGATCTCAGTCCAATCTCCGCCAGCATCCACCTGAAATAATAATGAAGAGAGTTAATAAAATGCCTCACCTGTATCTGAAACATAGAACTGACCAAGACAGAGCCTTTATCTCCCGCCTCCGTCTGCACCAACACCAACGGCCCTAACACGGCATACAACATCGACGGCCGTCTGCCTCTTACCATACGCAGTCAGCTTGATCAAATTATTTCTGCCGTGATATGCTATCCAATACCAGCGGGTGACGAAACGCGCAGGCTCTGTCGGGTAAGTTAATTAAACACCATCCCAAGACTGTACAGTACCTAACGGTGACCAGAAGTGGACAGGGCACGTCCAGTCTCGGCGAGATCCGTCTGTGTTCTGGCGCGGTCTCTCATGCTGCCTGATGCTCTCTGGCCGGCGGACTGACGGAGCGAATCAGCTCTTCGCCTGCCAATATGTCGGACGATTCGCATCTAAGACCGATGACCTAAATATTAACACAAGCCACGCAAGAGTGAACAAGCTTTCATATCGACAAGCGCTTCACTCTCTCCCGTCAGCAACGCTTGACGAGTACAGGCGCGGCAAACTTGCTTCAAGATTGGTAGAGTAAAATGACATTACCGCCTGAATATCTCACGATCAACAGTTTCATCGGCTCTAGCAGGATAGTCCTTTTCATAGTCACGATATAGACTCGTCAGTCAAATTTTCATTGAAAAAAGGGAAACACGGTTTGAATCTGAGCCTTAATATGTTGCGGTGTTGATCTTGCACACACGTGTTCAATGAATTATCTCAAATGAAAGCTATCCCCTTCCTATCCACACTTGATAGATCTCCCAGACATAAGCCAGGCGGCCCGACGGTACACACGGGGTAGCACCCGTCCGCTCGTCCCTACACATCCCATAGCCAAGTGGTAATGGGGAAAGCCTCAGCTTTTGCAAATGAATAAAACGGAGTTTTCAAAAGCATATGGGAAAAGTACGTAGGCGAAGGCTGTAGAGGCGCTTGGATGAACACAGCATTTGGGTAGAAATGTAAAGGTTTCTCAACTTCACAGGGAGGTGGTTCGTCGTGCACTGACTACAAGTCTTTCAACAAAATCTGAGCAGGAAATAGTAAAAAAAACTCGGGTAAAAATGACACGTCGATTCTTTTTCTATTCTTAATAATTGCATGTCAATATGTTTGAAGAACATTATATGTTCATGTATATATGATACTTGGCCCCTGTTTCTTCTACCCGGTGTGGTGTCCCTACATTGAATGACTAAGTATTAGTAATGGCGATGGCGTAATCATGGATTCCGACAATTGCCGATTCATCTCCTACCACTCCCTGTACTCGAAGCAGGACGGAGGAGGGGGATGAGGAGGAGGAGACGGCATCTTCTGTGTCTGCTGCCACTGGGGTACGTTACCAGGTCGGGGACATGTGGGAACATACTCAGTAATAGAAGCAACAGACATAAAACATATTTTGAGGAGCTCTAGGGGAAGCCTTGCCCCACTAACCCCTCTCCCCCCTACCCAGATGAATGACCCGACGGAACCACGACCTGGCGATTTCATTCACCGCTTTCAATGGACCCTCTATAAAAGGAGTCCAGTGAACTTGACTGATAAAATTAGGAAGACCAAGAATATTTGCAGTAAAGAATAGAGCGGCTTCGTGTATCCTAATCCACCAAATACCGCCGAACGACGATCCATGAATTATTGAATAGATCCTAATTAAGAAAAGCTACTTATAATAACACATTTTATATCTTAATTTATCAAATAGCGCCGAACGACGACCTATGAATTATTGGTTTGTCTTAATTAAGAAAAGCTACTTATAATTATCGCTATGTTCGTTCTAGTTAAATAAAAAATCAAGTGCGAATATTCAGACAATCACGCAAGTACACTTGGTAACCTCAAATGGTACAAGCATCTTTAAGACCAACTGAATTAACCTTCCACCCATACAGAATGGTGGCAGTGACGTACGGTGATTGTAAATGTTGCCGTGTTTCTTAATATCATCTGCACAGCCTGTCCTTGTTGTACAAGGACGAGCTAACACACCTATTCAGGCAGTATATGTAGATACAAGTATGGAATGTTTGATGTGTTCAGCTACCAACAATGTCCGGACACGTGTATGTCAATGCCTGCTGCATCATAAACCCACGGGTATGTCAGTCACTGATACAATATACTAATCTTCATAGTTTCCGAAAATAATACAGCTCAAAGTAATTCAAATCCTTTTGACAAGCCACTGGATGAAAGCAAAATGTGTCAAGGGTTGTTCGAAAATATTGCCCTTGCCATTGTGTGGACACTTTTCATATGACACATAGCACTGTCGCTGAACAATCAGGAGAAAAACCCTATTGAAAGTGTTTTGAACGGCCGATTGTAAACTAACGAGTTATATATAGATAGAGGTGAAAAGGCTAGCTAACATAGGAAGGAGGGAATTGACTTATGACATGGACTGGGTTCGTGACACTGACTGATGCGCGGCAAATACCACGTGGAGTAAATGTCATTTAATGACACAAGCATTTTGTTACGACCTGTTTGATTGGCTGGTAATTCAGAACATTATCAATATGAGCCAATTATATCAGTGGTTAGAGTTTAACTCAAGAACAAAGAAGATGAAGCATCGATTGCATTGTAGTGAGTGGATTTCAAACAATAATAGTTCATAATCCAACAAAAAAACACCATTTAAATTAACGATATAGTCAAGACTTGTATCAATTCAAAACTGTAAATGTTTGGTAAGGCATCAATACGTTTTGTTTCTAATATTATTCTTCATGCCCTAGTTATAGGTCATTTACTTGTGTGCTCTCTAAACCCCTCGAGTAATTATAAATATTCACACCCTCAAGTAGCTGACGGTGGTGCTAATGTAATTATGCATACCTAGATGTTTAGTGGTGCGAGTCCTGCACGAGTCTATAGCAAGCACTGGATGTCGGTAGTTACCTAAGGTGAAACATCATCAGTTGAACCTGCTGCGCAAGGTTATGCACCAAGTCTATGATAATTTGCAGGAATTTCCCAGTGCTCGAAGAGCTATGCATTCAATATCGCAGGATAACGGGCTTTTCATGTGAACTTTATAACCCTCGTACGAACTGATATCGTTTAGAATTACGGCCAATAAAGGGGAGCCATACACTAGCCTTACCAAATGACCTTTTAATATCGTGTAAAATTAATGAAAGATTATTTGATAACCCTTTCCTTAAACAACTGTTTACGATCCGTCGTAATAACTCAGGTTTTTTAACACTTATTGAGTGGCAAATTGCCCATATAATAAGCATATGCGTATGTACGGTGCTCCAGCACAGGTATCGAGTTACAAAACCACATTTAGAGTTACAATCCATGCAAAATTCTTGTCTGATTGCATACCATTTACAAGGAAGAACTGTCAAAATTACTGAGGTTGTCAGCCTAAGCTTGCACCAAATAAGCAAGCACCAATAGAACAGTAATCTTTTATTTCCATGGGAAGTTCGACCCTCTCGTTCAGTACACGTCTCCGGAAGCTCCGAACACATGACAACCATGCACGGCCCTGCCCCGACTGTCAGCTAATAAACTACTTAGGCCGCTACAAATCTGCGTACCACAAACATCATTGAGAGTTTTGGTCGGCTTGAAATCTCGTACGACCTCGCGGAAGCCATGTTATGAAGTACAAATCTCGCGGTTTCTGTTGCACAGCGGGACTGCAGGCAAGTGACATCCAAATTGGCATGCGCAGTATGAAGGTAGGCAAACATGTCCGGAAGGGTCAGGCAGCTGTGCACAGCCTCATGCCGGTTGTCAACTGGCAGTTTCATGCAAAATTACAACTCTAGCTGTTGCAGCTTAATAAAATTCAGTTCTAAATATAGAATCCCAGATCCCAGATGTTACCAGGTTGCCACTATATGCGGGTGTAGTTGTCTACCGTGGTGATTGATGATCCGAAAATATTGTCTTAAATAACATTCTTCATTAGATAATATCCTGTGTCGAATTTCAACCCTAAGCATTTCGGAGTATTTTCACATGCCATCAATCAATTAAATATTTTGGCAAATAGCCACTAATATGTCACCAATATCATAATTACTTCTGTGGTAACACCATCGATTCAGAAGTTATGTTACTTTGCGATGCCAATTAACGTTTGAAATTAAATTTACAATATGAAAATGATGCTAGCAGCTGCATTAGCTGAGAACATCTTTACACCGTCAATCGAAAGCAGTATCCCCGCGAACGGCGACCATGGGTATATGATTTACACCTTCTTTATGTCCAATGACATTGCTGTTCCTCGACCCTCATCGGCTTTAAACTGACATCAGAGGAGCAGGACGGGACTTGAGAACAGATCGAGCATTAATGCCAGTCATAAGAACACTCCGGTATTTTGATAGCTCTGACAGCAGTGGAGTTGTGTGCACGGGGCTGCACCATACATCGCATGTGCATGTGTCAACTGGGTGTGCGCAGATGTGCACGTGGGGTGGAGGGGAGGGGGATCCGTGTTGTTGCCTCATCCCGTCCTTCTCTCTAGCATCACTCCGCGGTAACTGGCAGTCATCATTAAAGACTATCTTTAGTGGTAGGGCACTGACTGCACCTTTGGTAGGGATCATGGGATAAGGGCGGAGACATTCTTGGGGCGCTTTAACACATCTAACTTCCTCCATCAGCCATTCGGGGGCTCTAACCTATCACAGCAAACGTGTTTCTACTATTGCCGTTTCACTGCCCTATATACCAGCTTCTGTGCCTCTTTAAAGGGGTCTAACGCATGTAAAATACACTGGAAGTGAATTAGCAGTCGTGCATATGTTAGTAAGATCATTAGTTGAAACATCTGAAGGCCATGGGACGATGTAACCTAGTGATCATGCATCACAGTACACCAGTTACATCATGAGGATGTGCACATTCAAATGATCTATAATGATATCCACTACTTTCGACTTCCATACACAAGGACAAATATTTCAAACTGATGTGAACAAAATCGTTTATCACTTCCTCAGATTAATCATCTTAAACAGGTGACAGAATAGTAATGGTGTCCCTTGTGTGCTGTACGATAGTGTAGAAATTGTTACATATGCTGGGGAGGTGGGGTAGACCTGTGGCTAAAGCGTTCGCTCGTCGCACCCGGGTTCGAATCTCAACATGGGTACAATGTGTGTTGCCCTATTTCTGGTGTCCTCGGCTCTGATATTGCTGGGATATTGCTAAAAGTGGCGTAATATCATACTCACTAAATTACATAAACGTATGTATGTCGGGCGTACATAATACTATGTAAACATCAGCGACCAAACCGTTGCGGCTATATTAGCTATATTAAAACTTGCTGTGAAATAGTCTATATTGTGTACTGTTTCCATGTAAGCGCATTGATGATGGACGTTGAGACGGATCTCACACAACCAGCGTGTTACCACCACCAACCCACCCATACACCCCTCCCCCCTTCCCAACACAGATCCGGCGATTCAACTACACCAATTATATAAACTCCTGCAATTATCGACTTAAACATCGCCATCAATACTTTTGTAATTGCATCGCTCTTTTTCAGTGGAGCTATTTTATTAATTTATGACCAAAGCTTTTAGTCCAAGCAGTACCGCAACTAGCCCTGGGCGATTGACTGATATGATATTATTTCCCCTAATGAACAACTGTTACATCCCCTGGGCCCCCGGGCCATATTTCCCCGACCCCTCCCGTTACGGGACACCGAAGACAATTGTGTCTCCAGGATGTATGCTGGACAATGCATATCATCAGACAACGGACAGCCTTTGACACCCATCACACTATTGCCGGTAATTATCATAATGTAACGCTTGCATTGAAAAAAACGTTTCATACACATTTTAATGGCAATGGTTAATTGCATTCCAAGCAGCAAGTTAGAATATACAAATTATTTGAAAAACTCATGGCTCCCAATTATGACGCCAACACCGTGTGTATGTTGTAACGTGAGAGTTTCAGACTTGTAACCACAGCTCGATGAGGTCTTAGAACAGGTCATAAACAAAATATTGATGTCTGCATTTTGCCACAAGTTATTATACACAAGCTGTATGAATATTTTTTGACATTACAGAAACTAGCTGACAAGTTGAGCTCACATTATCTTCCGGACTAAGAAAGATCTCAGAACCCTAGTCACCGCTGTGGTTCATACATACACTACTTGTTTAAGACGTCCTTTACACCGTGTTATAGGATTCAGTAGATTATAACAATGGTGCTACAAGATTGTTAATACTGTATGGTGGCCATGAGGACGCCATTTTATAGGCCCCCTGTACCCCTCCCCTCCTACCCCTCAAGACACTGCGGTGTATATGAGGTTGTGTGCATAGCATATGAGTTGGGGTTGTTGGGGTACATGTAGTGTCATGGTACAGAGAACCCGGAATTCGGGTGACACTGGACGCAACTGTACCTACAGTGCTACGTGTGTCAACTAACGAGCAGTAGTATATTGTGCCCTCGACGATCTCTCTTTTATGCCGCTCATTAATTACCACAGCTATATAGTGAGCACCCATCAACACATAAACTCCCGATTGCTGGAGATAAAATATCCATCTCGGCGCATATGTACAGGCGCTTTACACCATCTTGTAGGCGCGTTCGTTTTGAACAAATTGCTTATGTGGGCGTGAATCGACCTTTGATGACCTCTACCTCTCACCTGTCACTTGTTTCCTTTCATCTTACCGACAGTGCTATTGATTACAGGTGAACTATGGACGAGTTGATTGCATATATAAAAGTAGATAGGTCGAATATGTGGTACACGTACGGAAAATAACACATGCAGAAGAATGAACGTTAGATCGAGTTTTACATAACACTTACACAGGTATGTTCAGATCTTTCATGAATACAAAACATATCTGCTCAATGTTTAATTGAATGAACTGGCGTACATTTATATTGGTACAAAGCTCAATACATTTACGCAACACCACGTTCAGATTGAATAATTTATGTCAATTTCATAACAGCACTGGCAGTACTCGGTTAACAGAAACGTACCGGCTTTGACCGCTCAGTGGGAAATTACTGAAAGATAATTGCAAATGTCTAACAAATGCTTACATTCCAGCGGTGGAGTACAATGTGGCAGTGACTTGCGGCCTTGGTTTCAGTGTTGCTTGGAAATAGTCGCTCTGCAATACCCCAGATCGGGATACAAAAATCCACCAATCAGAGGAGAGAATTTCATTAGCGCCGAATAATTACGTGATGCACCAATGCATAATTCTAATGCATGATATTTAGGTGTCGTCAGTTGGAGCGTATATCAACATGTCTGTATGGGGTGTGTAGTTGGTACTGACGAGGTAGAGAAGACATCGGGTATTCAACAAGTTTCCAAGCCGTCTTTTGTGACAATTCAAATCTCAATCTTTGTGTTGGACCGAGGGGCACCGGCAAAGCATTCAAGGGTCGATTCGAAGCGAATATAATTCTCAATACTACATGGGGTAATTTAGTGAAGATTTTGTGGCGCATTCAAAGAATAGCTGATAGCTCATAGGGCCTTGTGTGCTTGTCAAAACTCCTTTACATTGGTTTGAAAGACAAATTTCCATCTCCCACTTATCCAGGCAAACTCCGTTAACATGACTTGTAAAGACGTTAGCGAGCGCCTTAAACAGACAATCTGCCAGACGCCATTGATACGAGTCAATGTGGGCGGATCCCGAGCGAGTCAGACAGTACTTCAATCATACATTGTTTCATATTGGAATTTAAAATTATTTCCAAAATTTGCGTCTTGATCTTGAACTTTAAGAAACCACATTGTACAATTTATGTTGACGGCGTTAACGCGTTTTTGAATCTAACATTTGATGCGATTAAAAGGATTGAATAAACTAGTTCGTTCAATTTAAAGCGGTATATTACATTATAATAAACAGGATGAACGAAATACGATCGTTAAAAACAATTAGATTAGATAATGTTCAATCGTAATCATTTCAGTAATAGTGTTCACTCAATTCAAACTGAGTTAGTATATGAAATAGATCAAAAGATCTCCACCAACTTACCGTGAGACTGGAAAAGCTGTCAGAACCGGTGATTTTACATCAAGCATATTCCCCAACAAATATCAAAGAAAACTAATCTACTTCGGTTTTCAGCGCAGCTTCATAAAGCATGTCTTCTCGGGGATACCATAAACTAAACTGCAGGGGAAGGCAACGCTACGAGCGTGCAATATGAACCTGTAACATTACTCGAATATATACAACATAACGTTACATAATGATATCACCAGTCCCCATCTCACCCGCCACCCCCACCGCGTTCCTGCCCTGCTCGTGAGGCAGCGCCACTCGTGTCCCCGTCCTGACGTTATTCCTCTATCTCAACACAGTATCAAAACTCCCATTGAAAACATGAAATATGAACCATCTTAGCGAGGTAGGGGACAACTAATACGGTAAATCGCTCGCCCATGTGATGTTCTCCGTTATGCCGCTATAGTCACTCATTTAGTGCACTTGTAATTTGTATTTGGTAGAGAATAACCAAATTGGCTGGTAAGCCCTGACACTTGGAGAGATAAAGTTTTGACACTCACGCTGGAGGCCGGATCTCTTGATAAAAGCTATGAAGAAAGGAAATGTGTTTCTTGTAAGGTCGGCTCAGGTTTATTTCAAAGTTCAGATTGAGCTAATTTCGTTAAGAATCACCAAACTCGGTTCAGAGGCATGTACGTGCTGGAATGGACAGTGGGGCAATATTTGGAAATATTTTTGCTTGGGAATTATTATTTTTATATACGAACCGTATGAAAGATAAGTTTGAAAAAGTAAACAAAACTTAATTATAATTATTACCAAATCCAATTTCCTGTGTGATATAAATTAAACCAAGTACTGATAAAATAAGTTTTAGTTTGCTTTTTAATACGAATTATTAACCTATCAATAACCTTTTCTGACCTATCAATAATAAATTTAATAGTTATAGATATGATTTAAGATTTGCAAATAGATATCACTTGTTTAATGCAGTGGGATAATGTATTCAGTTAAACACTGTAATGTCTATCTATTCACTTCTAAATAAATTTAGTTTGTGGTATATTACAACATTGACAATTAATCTCTGAATATATATTGAATAATAATGTGTTAACTTACCTCTTAATATACTTGGTATTTGATATCGTTCACTGACTCATTGTACCAGGTCATATGTAAATATAAGACCACCGAACACGTAAGTAAAACATTCAGCAAGACTTGTTCAGGTAACGTGTGTACCATCTATACAACTTCAGGTCAGGTAAATGAATACAAAATTGAAAAAGAACCCAGAAAACTACAGATCAGCTTGCAAACTGGTATTAATTGTTTAACATTATAATTAATTGTTTAATTTAATAGTTATAGATATGATTTAAGATTTGCAAATAGATATCACTTGTTTCATGCAGTGGGATAATGTTTTCAGTTAAACACTGCAATGTCTATCTATTCACTTCTAAATAGTTTGTGGTATATATATTGAATAATAATGTGTTAACCTACCTCTTAATATACTTGGTATTTGATGTCGTTCACTGATTCATTGTACCAGGTCATATGTAAATATAAGACCACCGAACACGTAAGTAAAACATTCAGCAAGACTTGTTCAGGTAACGTGTGTACCATCTACAAAACTTCAGGTCAGCTTGAAAACTGTATTAATTGTTTAACATTATAATTAATTGTTTTATTACAACACTACAAAGTTGCGAAAGCTGTGTTCAGATGCCTTCATACATCCTTGTCATGGAAATTTTCCACACATATAATACAGCATGTGTGAATGTACTGCAGTTCAATACATGTAGAGAATCGATTGAAGAATAAAGGATATAAGTAAAGATAGAACACCTGTCTCTAGGTATAACGTGTTACTTACCTCAAGGTCCGTGGTAACGCAAGGAGCCCGTGTGCCCGACTGATATCGACAGGTAGCCAAAGCGTTTATATACCCGATTGACGTAATTGTACCTGTGCAATTATTGTATTATCAACTCAGGTAATTGCTTGGCCACGTTATCAAACGATGCTTCGACAGGTTGCTGCCAACACCGGGAGTGTTTGGACGTGATTTAAAAGTAATTTACATCCCCATCCTAAATACCTCTCCAATTACTTTGTAATTTAGATAATTGCTTCAGCAGAATCTTATTTAATATTTTTGTAGGAATTCCATACGATATGTAGTTTAAATTTTCTTCATAATCATTTCGCTTTTCGCTTTTGTGATTATCAATAAGATTTTGATTTCAATTATCATAAAGATTCTGCGCGTTTCATCCACGTTTGAACATGTTTAAATAAATCCTGTGGAAAAATTTGTTTGTTTCAAGCATGGATCGCTTAGAAACGACATTTCCGCCCCGCTGCTAAAGCCACGCCTACTTAAAGTTAATTGGGCGATGCAGGCCCAGACTGAATGCTGATTGGTTTGCGCTGTTTGAGGGCAGCTACCGACATCTTTATCGTGCCTGCTGCGACCAGCTGATGGCATGATAGCGGTCTTTCTACACCAACTCAAGTCTAATTAGTTTCATCGATAGATTTGATAAAAGGTCAATTTATCCCAAGGATAGAGCGCACAAATGGAGGATGTGCAAAGTAAATAGAATAATTTACCCAGTTAATCGGCGATAGTCAAACATCATCAATTCTTTTCACATGCGATATGTACTATTCTTTTATATTCTTAATTTCGACGAATATACAACAGAAATATATTTCAAAAGGCTATTTACGAACTTAATGAGGAATATTAATTGATTTTTAAAAATTGTTATTTTAATTTTTTTTTAATTGAATTTGAAAATTACTTTGACGAAATATAAATTATATATATCTTAGAACAGTTGAGATGAAGTGGTAGGCTTACATGAGTACAAAAGTGACACGTGTCGCATAAAAGTATGAATAGAAACCAGTAAAAAGTCGATGTATTTGTTTTCTGGTGACAAAACATGACACATGAGTATACAAAACGAAGAGATTAGATGAGCTAGAGTCCAGAGACAGACGGTTATATTGTAAGAATCAAATAACATCATACAAAAGAATTTCTGTTACAGATCTCATAATCTATGCTCTGGCATAATTCGAGAATCTTTTACGGCGATGGATAATTTGGAAACACGATGGGATGTGCATTCTCGAGCATCATGTCCAAATTGAAAAATGACTCCCGTTGACTAATGCGTATTGTTTCCTTCGGCGTTTGGCTCACAATAATTGTTTGAACAAGAACACGATAACTCGTAACAGAAACAGTTCATTGTTTAATAAGCATGTACCACAAAGATTATTCATGTCAACTATTCGTTTCATGTAATTATTGACTGTGTCAGTGGTGAATTTGTCAGTAAATCATCAACAGATATTGTCGAGATGATTTGACAGCCAGGTGGTTATAGTTAGTGCATAAATCACTCATTTATTGATGTTACAAAATTTCTTTTAAACGTAATCTTCCATCATGATAATATATCAATAGTTTTATGACAGTTTCAGACACCTATTAATCACAATATTTATGACGAGAGGACAAAGTACTAGTATTTTAACGAATATGGAAAGAGGATGCATGGACCTATTTATTTACTCATATTTTAAAATAATACCACGGATGTAGAGATATATTTTCAAATCTATACTGTCGCATTATTCCAACATACAAAGTTGATGTTTGTATCTTATGTTTTTCAGTTTAAAGACAAGGATGAGGACATTTGTTTTGATTTCAGGCCTTTCAAAGTTACTCAGGCAGTTTGGTTAAATTTAGCATCCACTTTGTTTCAAATCATCGTGTTATATGTATATTTACCACAATATGTTGTATGTAAATGTGATATCTTTGTAAATCTTACACAGTTTAAGCTTGTTTATTAACTACTGATTGTACAAAGTGCTACAAGAATGCGAGATCTATTAACCATTAAATTTTAAGAAATAGCTACACTTAATATATTTGGTAGGAATGATTTAAAAATTTCTTGATCCTTTTCCATAACACTCAAAGGGCAAATGTGTGTGTGTGTGTGTGTGTGTGTGTGTGTGTGTGTGTGTTTAATTACGAAATTCATAGCACTTAATTTTGACAAATCAAAATGTATAGCGAACTGCATGAAAACGTAACAGGCTGCCTGCCTGTTACTATCTTCTACCATTCGTACTGCCCTGACAGCTCAAATTGATTAAATATCCGCCATGTTACCCCCCACAGAGCTCGCCGTCGGGTACCCGTCCGTCTCAGCGGGAAGACAAATTCACCGTAACAGCTGGCTCTAATTTTATTTGAAAAATATTCGTCGTTTCAATGCATAATATTGTATTTTATCCACATGTCGAGGCAAATTAGCTATCTTTATTTTCGCATCACGCCCGTCCACCTATCAGTGAAAGTCACATCTGTACGCGAATGCATGCCATTGTGTCTCGTTGTATTGATCTGGTCCTCAACACATGTCTGTCACATCAAAGTATCCCTTTGCAAACTTCTTGCTACCACAAAGGCAACCGGAATAAACAATCATGACCAAATATGTTGCAATTTAATTTTCAATGATATGCACATATGTAGACACGTCATTGATTAAACACAGAGAATGTTCTGATATAACAGTAACTTACGGACAGGGAAACACAAACTAACCACACTGTTAAACTCCCACGTGGACACAACAAGTAGTATTATCTTAAATTATATACGACCTCTAATCTCAGATTGTAAAATATATTCAACACAAAATAGACTTAAATGTTTCATACCGATGCGTATACAGCTGTGTCAATGGTCTCAAGTGAAAAGAAGAATAAAACTGTCATTTTCTAGTTTAGTGAAAACCTTTAAATATTTCAGTATCTTGGAATTCCCCAATCGCTCCTTCTGTTGGTGAGAATCAATCTTTGGTCTGTGCCGACGTAATCAAGGTGTGTATGTGTCCCGTTCTCTATCACCATAGGGGGGCCATGACGGTACGTGCTCTAACGCTGCATTCAAGGGATACACGTTTCTGTTGTACACAGGTTTGGATTAAACATGTACCTTCTTCAATTACCACCAGGGCAAGTACAAGCACATTGAAAGGAAATAACATGCAATTGGTGGATGGGTTATTTATGCAAATATCTGCAAGTTGTGTGAGTGGCGGGTGCTACCGGTAGGACTGGACATGCTTACACCTTAACGAGTTTCATATCATTTATATAATTTTCGGCAGATAATGGAATCTCTGGCATTGTCGTTTTATATTTTGAAGACATGTTGATGTGTAACGTCATCGAAACAGTTATTGATATGCTTGCCGGTTAGGATATTGTATTTAATATGATATTCATAACGACATCTGTATTACCATTAAATGATCATGTCACTCGTTTGTCGCATCACTTCTCATTGTATGATGTGCTGTGAGGTGGTGACAAGTACCTATTTCCAACACTATTTATGCGATCATTTCACGATGGTGAATTACTAGTCTATAATGTGCACGCGGTGTTATTGCTGCTGTAGCTATGCCCCTACCATCAACACAGAGTACATAATGTTGTGGATTCTTAATACAACACATCGACGACCCTGCATGTGGTAGATTCGCTCAAACAGGTCGGCATGCCCCATCACGTGACTTATGAACAGCTGGATCTATCCAGTGCGACATCATACCTCAATATGAACTTGACTATTGTAGGCAATAATATTTTGCACTTCAAAATAGACACCATCCTCGCCTCAAAGGGAGGAAACACTCCCTTAAGCACCCTTCCAGTTTCGTATCAACGCTTGTTTATTGGTGGCCACTTGGTGCCAGGTGACACCAAGGTTGAATTTAATGGTGTGATGTGCTGCTTGACTAGCCTATATATGTAGTTAGATCCAAGTCATATATGCTAGTTGACTAACATATAGGTAGATGCAAAGGTTTATATGTTAGTTGACTTGTCTATATATAGCTAGATCCAAGTGTAAGATGTGCTGCTTTAATGCCTATATATGTAGTTAGATCCAAGTCATATATGCTAGTTGACTAACATATAGGTAGATCCAAAGGTTTATATGTTAGTTGACTTGTCTATATATAGCTAGATCCAAGTGTCAGATGTGCTGCTTGACTAGCCTATATATGTAGTTAGATCCAAGTCATATATGCTAGTTGACTAACATATAGGTAGATCCAAAGGTTTATATGTTAGTTGACTTGTCTATATATAGCTAGATCCAAGTGTCAGATGTGCTGCTTGACTAGCCTATATATGTAGTTGGATCCAAGTCGTATATGCTAGTTTACTAACAGGTAGATCCAAAGGTTTATATGCTAGTTGACTTGTCTTTATATAGATAGATCCAAGCGTCTGATGTGCTGGTTGACTAGCCTATATATGTAGTTAGATCCAAGTCATATATGCTAGATGACTTACATATAGGTAGATCAAAAGGTTTATATGCTAGTTGACTTGTGTATATATAGTTAAATCCAAGTGTCAGATGTGCTGCTTGACTAGCCTATATATGTAGTTGGTGTTGACTAGCTTATATACAGAAATATTTAAAATTATGATATGATATCTTGCTTGTCTACATTGTTAAATCGAAACTTGAAACCCTGTCAACGATGTGGACACCGATATATATTGATCTCCGTAAAGATGTTAACTGTGCACATGCACGTGCATCTGCAGGGGTGACGGGATGTGCTCATACTATGCGCCTGAAGATGCACGACACTCCATTAATACGGAGAGGTACGTGCACGTCATGCCACAATAGATCATTTACGGAGTATTGTGAACTATAACATTATTTACATACTATTCAGTTTCGTATATCCACAGTTGCATCCTATCTGAACCACCTTCACACGGGTGCGCGGTGTGATATCAACCATCATTCACACGTGCAGAAACCTGCGCCAATCATCCATGCCTTGTGGTACATATACAACTTTTCTCCAAGCATACATTGTGATATCTTATATAAACCATCTCCAATCATTCATGCCTTGTAGTAGTAGTACATATACAATCTTTCTCCAAGCATACA